AAGAAGAGAAGAAACCCTAGATTCATGAAATCTAGCACACAAACAAAGATGGACACGAATCCTTACCTCCCACAGCAGCTCTGAACAAAAAGATGGAAGATTTAAGTCCCACAAGATAGCCTAACTCGAAATCTATCCTTCCCTTTGCTAAAGCACACCAAAAGATGATGAATTAGCCTTCCTCTTGCACCACAAGCTTCCTCTCTACTCTCTAGAGTTTCTCAGGGTGTAATGGCCTCAAATGAAGGCCATAAGGACCTTTAAATTGGTCCCAAACCCAGACAACTAGGGTTTTTCTTAAGAAAGATGACTCGACGAGTCCAGATACCCGACTTGCCAAGTTTCTTCATTAAACAAGTCCCCAAATCGCGATCCTACTCGACGAGTTGGGGCGTCAACTCGCCGAGTCTCTTCACACCCCAAAAATAAAATACTCAAATTTCCATACCTGGATATTCAGATGTTACAAAGTCTCCCCCACTAGGATCAGACTTTGCCCTCGAAGTCATCGTCTGGAAACAACTCTGGGTATTGCTCGCGTGTCTCGGACTCTGGCTCCTAAGTGCACTTTGAACCTCTACGATGGTGCCACTGAAGTTTGACCAGATGCACATCCTTGTTCATTAATGTCTTCGTTTTCCTATCCAATATCGATACAGGCCTCTCAATATAATTCATGCATTCATCAACCGGAATGTCCTTTAAAGGAACCACTGTTGTCTCATCAGCTATACACTTTCTAAGTTGGGAAACATGGAAAGTGTTATGAATCTAGCTCAACTCCTCAGAAAGCTCTAACCGATAAGATACGTTGCCTACTCGGGAAATCACTCTAATTGGACCAATAAATCTAGGGCACAGATTGCTCCGCTTCCTGAATCAGATCACCCTTTTCCATGGCGATACCTTTAGGAGAACATACACGCCGACCTGGAACTCTATATCGGAGTGCCTTTGATCTGCATAACTCTTCTGAAGACTCTGGGCCATCAGCAACCTCTGTCTAACCTGATGGATTTGCTCTGTTATCTTGAGCACTATCTCGGTGCTCCCCATCACTCTCTGTACGACCTCCCCCCAACAGATAGGATTCTGGCATCTCCTCCCATATAAGAGCTCAAAGGTAGGAATACCAATGTTGGAATGATGGCTGTTGTATGAAAACTCAGCCAAGGGAAGATAGGAATCCCAACTCCCACCAAACTCCATAACACAAGCGCATAGCATATCCTCGAGCGTTGGAATCCCAACTCCCACCAAAGTCCATAACACATCCATATGTTGGAGTGATGGCTGTTGTACGAAAATTAGGCATGTCTGTATGTGGATAATATGTGGTGGTGAAATGTAGCAGGGTACCCAACTCATCGTAAAATTTAATACAGAACCTGGAAGTGAAGCACACATCATGATCTGATGCTATCGATCTCGACACTTGTCACAACTAGCATTTTAGCTAGGAAATTCTATTCTTATGTAACCATTTAACTATTGTAAATAATGCACCATAAGTAAATCTCACTCAAGGCTTGTTTAGATTCATCAACTATATTCATCAAAGAATCTAAAAACCCTAAGAATCTCGGTTTAAGTCCATATTGGACAAGGAGTTCCTTATTGGGACTAATGGACCAATAAGCACCCAATTCAACTTTATAGGTCTTAGAAGCCCTAAATGGATCCTAATTGGACCTAGTTCATAAATATAAAACATTTTGGGACCATATGGGTCTAGAATGACTCATTCTAACCCTAATGGGCCTTATTGGGCCATAACAAATCCAATTAACCATTAGTAAGCCATAAGCCATTCTTTTATTCTAATTGGGTCGTGAATGCTTCCAAGACCCCAATGGGCCAAAAACTTTTATGTTTAGGACCCAAATATCCAAACTAAAGTTAATGGGCCCAAACTACTCCACCATTTCTCCTTGGCCCAAAATCTTGGCCCATGTATAAAAAAAAAGAGAATTAAAGGGGAGGGTTGACTTGGAGATGCCACCTCTATATTGCCCAACATGTATCAATGTTAAAATATCCCATGTATCCATACTAGTCACCTCACCTCTCTCTCTCTCTCTCTCTCTCTCCTCTCCTCTCCTCTCTTCTTCTACTCGGCCGAGAGCCCTCACACACACATACATTTCACCAAACTCTCTCCAATTCTCTCAAGACTCATTCATCTTCTTCATCCAAAATTCTAAAGACTTTTTCTTGTGTTTCAAGAGGTTTTCACAAGATAATCATCATTTCTTGGAAAGTCTTTACACCTCCAAGTTTTATAATTCCATTTTCTTGTTATATCACTCTTTTAAGCAAAGTTTTGGTGATTTTGCTTCCTAGAACTTCTTAAGTTCGAAATCCACTCAATAAAGCATGCTAGGACCAAAAGCTTCTTTGTTTCTTCTTCAAAACCGAAACATCAAAGAAAAGGTGAGTTCATACCCCCTTGTTTTCAGTTTTCATAAGATTTTTCGGGGAGAATACAAGTAAAATGTGTAGATTTATGTGTTATATGCATGTTTAGTGTGAATACTTGGTTTATTTGGTAATAATGGGTTAGATCTTAGCAAATCTCGGAATTTAAGCATTATCTAGCAAAGTTCTATGAAATATTACAATATAAACATCACATTACAAAACCAAAAATGATTACATGTTTGAGATACAAAACGTTTCAACAAAAACTTGGTTAAGGGTCAAAATTTTCAAGAAAACAAAAGATAAGGTTAAAAGGTGATATTTATATTGTCATAGTGGCCAAAACAGATCCTATATGTATAAAAAGGTATTTTTATACTAAGCATACCTTTACAAGGGTCAAAAATACAAATATACGCTTATTGGGCCAAACTTTTAGGCCTCACGGCCTTAGGGCCCAATTTGTGAAAAACGTGAAGTTTTAAGGTTTAAAAATGTTATTTGACAAAAGTTGGAGTCATAAATGTAAATAAACCAAATTTGGAGGTCAAAATAACATTTATTTTCAAAATAGACCAAGAGTGTAAAACTTTCCAAAATTGGGCCAAAAATGTTAACTTCTACAAACAAAGGGATGAAAATGCACTTTTCTTTAAAATGGGTTCCTAAATGTGAAAATATAACTTTTTTTGCTAAAACCGTAAGTTTTTAGACATTTGGGACAAAACTGCAGCTTTTTATAACTTATGGACTAAAATGTCATTTTTACAAAACTTTGGGCCTTAACTAAAATTTGATAATCATTGGACAAAAATGTCATTTTTGCCAACAGAAAGCTTCATAACATTAATTTGGTAAATCTTGAGCTAAAACACACAACGAAACAAAACGAACGAACGACATATGTCGATAATCAATTATTGGGCTTAATATTCATGACATCTGGCTGTTGGGCCCAAAGGGCCCAACTAAGTGTATATTGAACCCAATGCGTTCCATGATGTGTTTAGTGGGCCTTAATACACATTTACATGTTAATTTGAGCCTAACTTATGGAGTATATGTTTATTGGGCTTTTGTGGTCCATATACATATCCATTAGGCCCAAGTTACCTTCTTACATGTTATTGGGCCTTCGTGGCCCATTTGCATGCTAAGTAGGCTTGGAATGGAATTCATGTGCTTGTGATCATAACTATACCATTGCGTAATCATTTTCACATCGTATACTTATATTAATATTTACCCTTTTTGAATTCGAAAACATACAACATATGCATAAACATTAAACATAGTACAAAAAGGGGTTGAGAATCTATTGAGACTTGTCGGTTGGCACATTTGAGTGTACAATCGTAACCTATATTTATAATCAGAGTTTCCTGGATGGAAATCGGGAGTTTGTGTATAGATCTATACAGGGTGACCCCCCACACCTTAGTTGCTCGCTATAGCTAGACTAGGCCAGTCTAGGGCGACAACATCCTTATCAAGACCAGTATTTGGAAAAATACCAAGACGGGCGACTGAGTCATTATCATGCATGGTTATAACGGCTCATTTAGGGATTCGATACCCAACACTTAAACCTTTTAAAGATATACTCGTTGAGGGTGTCAATACAAAACTCTTATTTAAGGATACAAAATCTAAACATTGCTATAAAACGGAAAATATCAGATTTTCTGGGGAAATTATTCATGCATATTTATCAGTCATTTGACATACAATGAATCTAAACTACTTTTATACAAGTTATAACTAAGAAATTCACACATGCATTTATACTGGATTTTCACATCATTTCAGACAATTTACAGAAAATATCGGATTTTCTGGGTTTTTACGAAAACTTTTACTCAAACATACTTATGAACTCACCAACATTATATATTTTGATTGTTTTCAAAATAACTTGTATTCTCAGGTAATCGTTAAGCTGGAAGATATGCGAGTGTGTATGGTTTTGTTTATGTAATGTCACTTATCGTACTTTGAACAATTAAAATTTATGTATTTTAACAATGTACTTGATGTGAACAATGTTGGTTGTATTATGTAATGTTGGTGATGAATGTGTTATATTTAATGTATATTCATTGTGATGATTATTCAATTGTTAGTCACACGAGCCCCAAGACGTTTATGCCGTCTAGTTCGGGGTGTGACAAGTTGGGATCAAAGCAATGTTTATAGTGAACTAGCATATCTAACCATACATGATATGCAACTATAAACAGAATGGGACTAAACAACTTTGAACAACACAAAAAAAAATTAACACTTGTGTGCGCATATTAGGATAATAACCTAACAATACTTAATAAAAGCTTCTGGAGGAAATTAAACACTATAGTTAAACCTGGACAATTATGTAGTCATATTAGGGTTAAATATAGTCTAATCAACTATATTTATTCAAAATATGACCAACATGTGTTCGGGAGTAACCATAGCGGGAAATGAATCCAAAAGCCTACCCCACTCTCCAATAACTCTATGGAATCCAAACACTAATAATTAAAAATACTATAAGAGTAATCAAAACATGACTCGTTCTTGCGCCCCATGCAGTCACCATGGATGATGATCAGCAAGGGGTAAACTTCTACCAAGAGCTAGTAGCTGAAGGAGTGCTTGAGGAGGATCCCGAAGAAAACCCCAAAGCAGGCCCTGCCATGGGTCAACAGGTGAGACTCGAAGTGGAACCGGAAGAGTATGTGGTAACTGATTACGAATACGACGAGTCTGACAGGGAGTCAGATGAAGGAGAGACTCGAAGTGGAACATGTGAGACTCGAACTGGAACCAGAAGAGTATGTGGTAACTGATTATGAATACGACGAGTCTGACCGGGAGTCAGATGAAGGAAAGGACATTAAGGAGGCGCGCAATGAACCCCACCTATCAAAAGCCCCATCAAATCCACGCACGGTTCTGAGGGGTGATGCATACCATTTACGCTCTCTTGAGGAAGAAATAACAAATCTCAAGCGTCAACTCTTTGCGACCGAAGCAAGGGTTGTACGAGCCGATCAAAGGGTAGAGGTAATCACCCAAGAGGTAAATGAACTGGTTGAACATCTGATACGTCAGCTCAACGATTGAGTGCCATCGTCAGCACTACCGATGGGACTTGCTCTACTACTTTCTATATAGGTGTCACAATAAGTGAAACCAGCCATATATCCTACTAACATTGGGTTCCTTCTAACGGATACCACCCTATGTACTATCGACTCTATGTTTAAGTGATTACACTACTCATAGGGTCGTCATGCTGCTGGATTTTATATGTATTGTATGCCTTTTTGGCAACTTTTCATGTATCAAACCTATTAGTATTAATAAAAATACTTTATGTTTTATCATGATGTTGTTATCTGCTATGTGATATACTTCCATGTGTTTATATCAATGTGTGAAATTACTTAAGTACATGCTATACACCTAGCCTATAGGATCACAAAGCCATAAAAACCATAGGCACTCAACATCTTTCTATTCCATGACAGAAGGATGCCTCAATGACCCACACGTGGAAACCCCGAGCCATCGCCTCCATAAATTAACTCGGTTGCATTCCAGGAAGCAGTGTCCACTACAGTCAGCGCAACACTTGCACAGATTGGCAATGGAAACAATAAAGAAGGCAACGTTCATGGAACTGGAAGTACAAATCATGGAGCCGCACGAACCTGCACCTACAAGGACTTCACCAACGCCAAACCTCGGACCTTTAATGGGACAGGAGGTGTTATAGCCCTGAAGAGATGGATTGAGAAGGTAGAGTCTGTCTTCGAAATCTGTGGATGTCCGGATGAGTGTAAATTCAAGTTCACAACATGCACGTTCACTAGACCAAGCTCTCTCTTGGTGGAATGGCCACATAGAGGCCATGACACTCCCAGTGGCGAACGCGATGCCCTGGGAAGACCTGAAGGGGACGATATTAACAAAAAATTGTCCTAGAGGTGAGATACAAAAGACGGGGCAAGAGTTGTGGAACCCCACAGTTCAAAACTCCAATATCGATGCATAAATATCCCGATTTAGTGAGCAATTGTGACATCCCCAAATTCACGGCCAGAAAAAGACCGATTTGTTTATGCTTTATTTGAAAATAAGAGTATATTTTTAAAGAAATATAATGCGGAATTTGTTCCAAAAAAATATGAAAAAGAATTTATCAAAGCATTTCCGTAGAAATGTATTATATTAAAAACTTTGGGATATCATTGTTAATACAGATCAAAAGCATAAACATAAACAACATAGGCATTATAATATCTATTTATTCTACTAGCCTATAATCCATTGATCACTCATCAGATCATCACTCTTGTGCTCTCTTTCCACTACCTATATATGAGAAAACTGAGTGGGTTAAACTTGAGAGCCTGGTGAGCACATAGGGTTTTCAACCCGCAATAACTAAGTTTATTAATTTCATCAACCAACAATAACTCGATTACCCATTCTCGTTATCCTCACTTTACGTCCCTAAAACACCTATCGTATGGGATCTTGCCTAAGGATTATCATCGGGATGGACACTACTACTAAGGGGTTTCCTCAACAATAAATTTCCGTAAGACAACCAAGAGGGGGATAGAGTACACCAGTGAACACATCGTTCAGAAAACACCTACAGGTTGCAGGCCTGCTAGCGTTCCACTTGACTGTCTAGAATAGTCTGTGGTTGTCATCTATACTCTGCTAGATGACTGGATCAACAACAACCATCGACGCCTCTCATCATTTTATTTCATCACACACAAACTATTTCATCTACCCATGTTTTACCCCAACATATTTGTAGATATAAAATACTTATACAGTTTAAATCATTTAAAACATGTATAATAGTGTTTGTCTAACATAGATAACAAGTATACCGATAATATGCCCCACACAGCATGTAATTTATATAAAGTACTTCATATCTATGCATAAGATGAAAATAAATATGCACTCAATTTAGTAGCGGGAGTAGATAGAATCTAAAAACAGTCAACGGCTCGTGATCATCGGGCTCGGGACGCGGAACGGCTCCAAAAAACGAGAAAGAATGAGGATTTGGTGTAAGAAGTGAATGAGGTTGAACTTGCTATTTATAGGCTGATTTCGGCCCATTCACGTCGTGAGAATTCATTGCTCACGTCGTGAGCCATGGCTGAATCACCTCATAGCTTCGACATCTACGTTCTAGGCTTGAATAGTGTCTGTTTGACTCCTCACGTCGTGAGAATTCATTACTCATGTCGTGAGCTTTTGAGTAATCATTTCCGTAGACTTCTAGCTTCGAAATGTGGCGTTTTGACTCCTCGTGTCATGAGAAAAGAGGCTCACATCGTGAGTCCAGTCAAATTAGGGTTTCTGACACGTGTCATGCTCTTAGACAGATGTATCTTCGGAAGGTCATAACTTTTGCATACGAACTCCATTTTTGATGTTCTTTCTATCCACGCGTAGTTGGAGATGTACTATACAACTTTCATTTAGACCCTTAAGGATAAAATGTAGTTTATCATAATCTCACTTTTTACGATTCCTAGTGTCGTGCCGGTTTTGACGCGAAACTTCGACAGGTCATATCTTCTTCATTATAACTCGGATTTCGGCGTTCTTTATATCTCCGGAATCCTTGTCCCGACCACTATAACTTTCTCCATACATATTGGACCTATTTATTATTTTATTTTTGACACTTATTTTATTCTTAACTTATTATATCTTATAATTAAGTATAATGCACATAAAATCACATAATATTCAAATAATTCCTATTAATTATTTCAAAGTAGGTTATAAGTGTTGACCCTAACTATTACACCATTTAAATTAATGTTTAGCCTTGAAACACTGGCGTTACAATTCTCTCCTCCTTAGGATGATTTTGTCTCGGAATCACGCATCAGCCAACAGATGTGGGTAGTGACTCATCATGTCACTCTCTGTTTCCCAGGTAAGGTTCGGCCCATTCGTATGTTTCCAACGCACAAGCACTAAGTCAACCATCTTGCGGCGTAACTTCTTAGTCTTATGGTCAACAATCGCCTCAGGCTCTTCAATTAGCCTCTTATTTTCATCCATCCTTAATTCTGAAATTGGAATTATATCGGGAATTTCTATCGTAAACTTCCTCAAGTAACACACATGGAAAGTGTTATGAATACCATCTAGTTCTTCTGGTAACTCTAGCTTGTAAGCTTGGTTCCCAATCCTCTGAAGAACTTTGAATGGTCCTATAAACCTTGGACTCAACTTTCTTCTCTTTCCAAATCGTATAAGTCCCTTCCATGGTGAGACTTGAGCAAAACCAAATCTCCAACTTCAAATGTCAGCGGTGGTCTTTTCTTATCAGCATAACTCTTTTGACGATCCTGAGCTGCTAACATCCTTTCCTTGATCACTTTTAGCTTTTCAGCAATCTGATGGGCTATCTCGGGGGCCATAAACTGCTTTTCTCCAGCTTCAAGCCAACAAGATGGCGTACGACACTTCTGTCCATACAACGCATCATAAGGTGCCATCTTAATGCTTGAATGATAACTGTTGTTGTAGGAAAACTCTACCAGAGGTAAGTGCTCATCCCAGTTACCTTGGAATTCTAGGGTACATGCTCTCAGCATATCTTCCAGTGTTTGAATCGTTCTTTTGCTCTGACCATCAGTCTGTGGATGGTAAGCTATACTTAAACACAACTTCGTACCCATTTCTTCCTGTAGACTTTTCCAAAACCTTGACGTGAAACGACTATCACGATCTGATACAATTGTTAATGGTACACCATGAAGTCTTACCACTTCCTTCACGTATGCATTTGCAAGCTTATCCATAGATCATTTCTCATTGGCTGCTATGAAGTGTGCACTGTTTGTGAAACGATCCATGACTACCCAAATCATGTCGTGACCTTTCTTCGTTCTGGGCAGTTTAATCACAAAATCCATGGTGATATCTTTCCATTTACCCATGGGTATAGGTAAAGGTTCTAAACTCCCATACGGCTTCTGATGTTGTGCCTTAACCCTTGCACATGTTACACATTCATCCACATACTTTGCAATATCGAGCTTCATCGTCGGCCACCAGTAGTAGGGTTTCAAATCCCTATACATTTTAGTGCTACCTGGATGAATCGAGTACATGGTTTTGTGAGCCTCTTCCATCAGAAGATCCCTTATTCCTCCCATCTTAGGTACCCAAATTCCATCTTGAAATAACTTCAATCCTTGTTTATTTGTACTGAATACCAATGTTTTGCCTAAACGTTCTTCCTTTCGGTCATTTTTCTCCAAACTTTCTTCCTAAGTTTTCTTAATACTTTTCACAATCGTCGAGACAACTTCAGTTCATAACGATCTTGGCCCTTTTCTTTCAAAGTTTACTTTTCGACTTAGAGCATCAGCTACAACATTTGCTTTACCAGGGTGGTAAAGTATCTCACAGTCGAAATCTTTGAGTAACTCTAGCCAACGTCGTTGTCTCATGTTCAATTCCTTCTGATTAAAGAGATATTGGAGACTCTTATGATCAGTGAAAACTTTGCACTTCGTGCCATATAGGTAATGCCTCCATATCTTTAGGGCAAAAACTACTGCTGCCAACTCCAGATCATGAGTGGGGTACTTCTTTTCATGCTCCTTTAATTGTCGAGATGCATATGCTATCACATTTTCTCTTTGAGTTAGAACACATCCTAACCCGACTCCCGACGCATCGCTATATACTGCGAAATCTTCAACTCCATCGGGTAGAGAAGGAATTGGTGCTTCACACAATTTCTTCTTTAGCTTCTCGAATGCCTCATCGTGTTTCTCACTCCATGCATATGTGGCTCCTTTATGGGTCAAAGTTGTCATGGGATCAGCTATCAAAGAAAAGCCTTGGATAAATCTTCGGTAATATCCAGCTAATCCCAGAAAGCTTCAAATCTCCGTGGGACTTTTTGGTCGTTGCCACTTCATTACAGCTTCTATCTTCGCTGGGTCAACCATTATTCCCTCTTGGTTAACCACGTGACCCAAAAATTGGACTTTTCGAATCCAGAAATCACATTTGGAGAACTTAGCATACAGCTTCTCCTTCTTCATAACTTCTAA